CAAGGGACTCCCCACATCTGATGTGCTTACGCTAATTAGACGGATGTATCCGAGAGTGCTACACATCTATGTGCTGCTTCTAGACCAAGAGCATCCACGGCGGATACTATGGCCCTACACAGTGGACGGCTGTGCTGGCTGAACCTTGGGCCTTCACACACTCACTGGTTTCCATCCCTCCATTGAGAAGGAGGCCCTGCACTTGTTGGACCTGGCAGAGGAGGCGGGGATCTAGGAAAGCAGCAGGGGAATTAGGTTTTACTGGTACTGCATTCTTGTTGCTTAACTCTGCTTCTACCAGTTCCAGCAAGTTCCTTCAGGTCCAGGGGTGGTGACAGCTTCTGTCAGTTTGCTGCTAACTCCCGGGAGCTTCAGCGTGTGCTGTTTGCTCCTTCAAACTTGCCTATTTTTTTTTTTCAAATAATCTCTTAATTAAATTGCTTTTAGTTAAACTCCTTTGAATAGAATCTTTCTTCTATCTGATTCCTAACTGATAGACGTACAGAGAATGGCTAACATTTTAATTTTCAGGTCCTTTCAGCACTTGACATTAGCCATATATTGATAGCCCAGATTATAGTTCTGTCTAACATTTTCATTTTCCCCCCTAAATTTTATACAGTGACTTTTAGTCTTAAAATGCTTCTGAAATTGTTAAGAACAAATTTCTTCCCTGAATGACAACATTCCCCACATGGCAGTGGCTCAGAATCCCTAGGCACAAAAGTTCAGGTGCTGCCTTCATCATCCAGCACTTAAACATATAGAATTTTAATAGCCCAACTTAGAAAACAGCCAAATAGCAATCAACATTCCAAAGGACCAATGAGTTGTAATATATTTTTACAATCTAACTCTATTAAGTACTGAAAAAGTGAGCTACTGTTTTGCAAAACAAAATGAACAAATCTCACAGTTACAATGCAATGCAGATACTATGTGACTGAGCTCGCATGGATCCCAGAAAGCATACCAAGGTCTGAAGAGCGGCTGCCTTGCTAGAGGGCAGTTTGCTTTAGTTCCTTTTTCTTTCTTTAAAGCTGCAAGCCAGAGCTTAGGAGAAAATCTTAAGCTATCTTTAATCAGACTGCTCAGTACATTATAGAAAGTACATAAGCTTCCTTAAAAGACAGAACAATGACAAAATATATCTGCAATAATTGGAGTGTTTAACTGCCTGTAAGGCAGAGAAGTACAGAGTCACGCCATCTCTGGATGACTCTGAGCACACACTTCAGGAGAAGAAATGAGTTCACTAGACATTCCTTTAATGTCCTTTAACTCTATGAGAGCCTCTCAACGGAGAAGGTAAGTGTGGCTGCTTATTACAATAAAATATCATACATATTTAATCTTTTCAACTATATCACTTTGTTATTTGATTTCTTATACCATTTCCTATCTCTTTGTAAATAGTCTCTTAATTAAATTGCTTTTAAACGCAATTTTTCTTATATCATTTCCACCTTTCTCATCGTTATCCATTTAGCTTTTGAAAAATGATCTTTCATATGTTTATGTATGTATCTGAGTGAGAATGTGTACATACGCATGAAGGTTCCTTTGGAGTCCAGAGGGCAGAAGCAGATCCCTACTGCTGGAGTTGGACGTGGTTGTGAGCTGCCTGACATGCTGCTGAGAGACAAACTCAAGTCCTCTACAAAGGCTGCGTGCACAGGGAACCACTTGCTGCCTCTCCAAGTGGTTTTTTTCTTGTTTGCTCTTAAGATTTTCCAAAAATAACTACAACATTCCTATATGTTTTGATGAAAGTTTATATTTTCACTAAATACAAGTTTTATCATGAAATATTCTTGTTTTGTTTTGTAAATAGTGCATAACTTTCTCATCGGAGTCAGTGCTTCCCAGAAGTGTGTGTGTGTGTGTGTGCATATGTGTGTATGTGTATATATACACACACACAAATATATGATTCCCTGTATTATAATTTTATGTTTTTAAATTTTGTGAATTATTATCAGTGAATGTGAACTTTTTATTTGATGTCTTTATTTTCTCTCTGATCCTTCATGTCAAAATTCTTAAACAGATATTTTTATAATCATATGAGAAAAGTTGAAAATATATTCAATAGGTTGTTTTTAAAATATTTTCTTACTTGGTATTTATTGGTTGAGATAGAAACTCATATAATCCAGGCTGGCCTCTGTAGTTTTGATTTTCTGATCCTCCTGCCTCCATATACAAACTAGTGAGATTCAGCTACGCCCCATCCTGGGGACTGAGGAACTGGCTCGGTGCATGCTACATAAGCAGTCTGCCAATGGAACCTCTCTACTTATCAACTGGAAGGCTTACTTTTCCTTTCCTTTTCCTTTAAGCATCCTATCTAAATGTCCATGGAACAGGTCGAATTACTACTTTTTATTTATTGCTTTTATTTTGGAGATTACAATGACATCATTTACCCTTTCCCTCTCCTCCCCCCAGTCTCCTTCCCATGTACCTCTCCTTGATTGTTCAAACCCATGGACCGTTTCTTCATTAATTATCACTACATCCATACAGGCATGTGTGTGTGCGTGAGTGTGTGTGTGTGCGCGCGTGTGTGTGTGTGTGCGTGTGTGTATTCCAAAATGTAACAGTCTGTATAATGTTACCTGTATGTATGCTTTCAGGACTGATCATTAATTTTGAATTTCTGTCTTAACTTCCAGACTCTGGGCTGTTCCGTTCTTTTCCTTTAGAGTCTTCTGTTTGTCACCTCTTTATCTGTGAAAACAGCTTGGATCCTTCACTGCCCCCTGAAAATCCTGACTGTGTCCTTGGTATCAGTTTCTATTCTGTCTTACAGTTTGCTTCATTTAACTCTGCTTTCACTGCAGTTGCTGGCATAGTTGTGCCTAGTCTTTGAATTTCTATCTATTTCCTTGATCTTGTTTCATGTAAAAATAATGTAACAATTTTATTTTTGTTAATTGCATGCCTGATTTATTGGTATTTTCAGGAGATATTTCAATGTGCTTATAAAAAGAGTGAGGTTGATATAATGAAGTTAAATCTCATGTTTTAATTTGTTTGCCTCTGATTTTTTTCTCCTTCATTTATTCATCTTTTCCCTACCTTCTACCTATTAAGGGATAACTTTTTTCCATTACTAGTAGTCAAATATGCTACTCTATTGTATGAAAAAGAGACATCCACTTTCATGCACCCCTCAGCAAGAAGCCATGCTGTACTGTATGTTGTTTTCTCTGTAATAAGATGTGCATGCATCTGAAATATTAGTTAAACAATTTGATACCATAACTCCATTAAAAGCAATGACAATAGTACATTTTAAAATATCGAGATAGAGACCAGGTATAATGCCAAGCATAACGCCAACTCTGCATTCTATTCTATGAATATAAATCAGGAATTTAGCTATGAGTATGTCTGGGTAAGCACAATGCCTATCTAGAATAACCGTGGTATTACATAAACTATAGAGAAATTAGTGTGTAAATTAAAATATTTTAAAAACAACGATGGCATCTTACTCTTATGTATTTCTTTTTTATGACAAACCTTGATGTGCAGTCAAGAAAATTTAATTTTTTAAAAAGCTTTATTGATTTTTAAATGATTGCATTACAAAGAGGTGTGTTTTAATAGTGTGATATTGTCATTTGTGAAATTTTGTTGAAACAAGCCCACAGAACTTTACTAGGAAAGGGCTCATTCTAGTACCTGCAGTCTTTATTTCTAAGCTTCAACCTTTCTAGGTGTAAAACATTACCTAGTAATGAGTAAATCCTTAAATACTATAGAAATAATGCAATTTAAATATAGAAATGTGGAGTTGTTGCCGATTGCTTTGGCATGGCACAGAGTAGTTAGAATTGGTTATGTTATAGGGAATATAATATATTGTTATACAGTTGGGGTCACGACGATCTCTGCCAGCAATCATCCATACCTGTGACAGTTGACTTTAATGCAGTCACTGGGTTAGTTAAACAAATAAATACATATGCGTTCATAAACTATGTTTGTCTAGACGTCGAAACTTTGGTAAGAAACTTAGATCGAGCTGCTGACTTGGAGACTTTGTAACCTAACTGGTGATGGGGGAATTCTTGAGAGAGAAGAAAGATAAAGATATTATGAAGGTTTTATTACATATGGCTCAAGTGGCAGTTTGAATAAGAAATGTCTCTATATCTGGCATTTGTTTCCTAGTTGGTGGCGCTGTTAGGGGAGGCTTAGGACAGGGAGATTTCTGGGAGGAATTACATCACTGGGGCAGGGCTTGAGAGGGTATACCCTGTCCCACTTCCATTTGGTTCTCTGTTTCCTGGTGTGATGGAAATGGGATGGGAAAGCTCCCCACTACGCCTGCCTGCTGCCATGCCTTCCCTGTCATTACGAACCACCAGTCCACAACCCTAAGCCAAAACAAACCCTTTCTTCCATATGTTGTCTTGGTCAGGGTGGGTTTTTTTGTTTGTTTGTTTTTTTTTTTTTGTTTTGTTTTGTTTTGTGTGTTCAGAGACAGGGTTTCTCTGTGTAACAGTCCTAGCTGTCCTAGAATTCATTCTTGTAGACCAGGCTGGCCTCGAACACACAGAGACCTGCCTGCCTCTGCCTCCTGAGTGCTGGGATTGAAGGCGTGCGCCACCGCTGTCTGGCTTCTGTAGCGGTGTTTTTTTTATCACAACAACAACAAGCAATTAGCATAACCTGCAATGATGTTATGTTTTAAGAAATCACAGTACTCTTACTTAATTTAGTTCCCTTTGATGGAGTTGCTGAGGCTGGGGATGTAGCTCAGTTTGTAGAGAGCCCGCCGAGTATGAACTTTCCATTACAGCGTGTGGAGACACACGCCTGTAATCCCAGCATCCCAGAGATGAAGGAGTTAGGGTCAGAGGTTCAAGGTCCTCTTTGACTCCACACATAGTGAGTGAAAAGACAGTCTGAGCCCCATGAGACCGCCTTAAGAAAAAAAGAGATGCCAAGACACGACACCCAGAGAGGGCTTCTGTTCAACCTACTTTCACCGGTGGAGTAATCCTGCGGGTCGAGTATTCCTGACTCCTGCAGAGAGCGGATGCAGGAGTCCACCAGCTCCAGGCCTGTTGTAAGCTCATCTTCGATGTCTTTCTGTCCATCTGAAAGGAGACAGAAAGTGGTCAACACGATAGGGTAATGCTAAAGCTCCAAGTCAGTAGCTCTCAACCTGTGGGCCACGATCCCTTTGGGGGAATCAAAGGGCACTTTCACAGGAGCTGCATGCACCTGCACCTCAGATGTTTACTCCACAATACACAATAGAAGCAAACTACAGTTATGAAGTTGGGTCATCAAACCATGAGGGACTGTATTAAAGGGTCTCAGGAGTAGGAAGGCAGAGAAGCACTACTTTAGGTTATTATTGAACAATCAAATACTACATCTAACAGACAGCATCTTTGTAAGCCTTGACACCAAGCAGAGAAGGAAAAGCTAATCAATTATGTGTATCCTTGGAGGAGATTCAGTTGTCAGAAAATTAAGAGAAGTTAGCCCCTCACCCCAAATCATGAGCTATCATAACTTTACTTAATTCCTACTGTCTTCTTTTTCTAGTTCACTTTTAGATATCTAAAGTTGATGAGAACATGAATCAGTAGAGGTCCATCTAGAAGAAGTAAGATCCCATCACATGGCCGTACTTTACCTTGTGTCTGCCAATGGAACTGCTCTCCTGCTGAACTGCAAGAAAGAGAACACACAGCTGTAATGAATTGAGTAGCAGAGAAAGGTCTCTACACACAAGATACACAGGTAACTAACTCAGAGCTGTAATGAACCGAGTAGCAAAGAAAGGCCTCTACACACAAGATACACAGGGAACTCAGAGCAGGAGAGGCAGCTTCTTGGAACTTGCTTTAAGTCTCCGTGAAGGAAAAGGGTCCCAACTGAGACAGAATCTCAATTTTAATGCATTTAATAATGCATTAAAGGATAATAACATATATCCGCTTTTGATTCACAGGTAATACCATGTGATACATGGACATTATTCAGTAATTTTCATAAAGGTAGTTCATTTTTTTTCACAAATCCAATCCATTAGGCAATAGCTTATGGATAATTCAGTTTTATTCATTTTTAGTTATTTTGAAATATAAGTCTGCATGGTATTAGACACTGTAATGTAGCCAAATAAAGAAATATATATCCTCTTTTAATTAAAAACAAAATAAAATAGCTTTTTGCCTTTATCTCAACATTTCCTATGAATCCTTCTTTCCAGTTGATGATTGTGGCTTAAACAATGTGGCTTAAAAATAATAACATATTACCACCAACTGAACACACATTATGAACCTTTTCTCCTAACAGCTAGGAGTGCCTGTCTATCTATCTATCTATCTATCTATCTATCTATCTATCTATCTATCTATCATCTATCTATCTATCTATCTATCTATCATCTATCTATATATCTAT